CTACCAGTGGTTCATCAATTTGCGCAAACTGCACACCTTTTGCCCGAAGGAGCGTCCACCCTGGATCGAAAAGAACCATCCCACCAGCCGAGTGGGACCCCCTCCTAGTGGCCCCATCCCACATACAAATCAGTCGAGAATCAACCACTTGGGTTTCTGGTTGAACCTTCGGACAAACCCACCCATTCCTCGTACTGCTGATGAAACTGGCGCATTAAAGCTGGAATCCCAAACTGTTTGCCTTCAAAGACAACCCAGTTCCGCGATCGCCAAAGGATGGAAACCACAGCCATAAACAGCGACGGGTGATGGACAAGGGCGAGCAGCCGCTTGAGAAACAATGGAAACGTGTGCTGAGGCAAACCTTCCCCCAAACAGTCCAATCCCGAGTAGTCCCAGAGAGCCCTCGCAACCGGGCAGTAAAGAAACATGTGCTCCATCGTTTCGGGCCCATCCCAGCAAACCGGACAACGGGGCAACACAAGGACCTTCTTTTCAATGAAAGCCTCAGTGGTCGGCAAAGCCCGATGAAGAATTTGCCAGACAAAGACTTTCAGCTTAGGAGGAATCTTTGCTTCCCACAGCCGGATCCAGCTTTGCCTATCCATCCAACTAACCGAGGCCCGCCACCCACCCCTCCTCCTATCAAGCTCAACTGCCAAATGATAGGCCGTCTTAACCGAGAACACCCCATCAGGAGTATTATGCCAGATCATCTTATCCTCTACATTCCTCCTCGGAAGAGGGATAGCCATAATGGCTTGACAGGTAGACGGATCAAACCATTGACTAAGCTGCCCAACGCCCTTCCCCTTGCCAAATCACCTCCGCCACCAAGGGATCCCTCCCAACTGCCAGGACCCGAGGATTGTAGCAAGGGAGATCCAGCTGAAGCCCTGGGATCCAGTTAGAGTGGATAAGGGAGACTGAACGGCCATTCCCGATTTGCCATCTTAACCCTGCCTCCAACAACTGGCGTCCAAACAGAATGCTCTGCCAACCCCAAGAAGGGCGTGAACGAGCAGTAGCCGACATAAAAGTTCCTTGAGGAAAGTACTTCCCTTTATACACCTGAGAAAGGAGGGATTGCGGTTCGTTGAGAATACGCCAGCCAATCTTAGCCAAGAGAGCCTGGTTAAAATGCTCAAACCGGCGAAAACCCATACCCCCATCATGCTTACTCCTGCAAAGATTTCGCCAGGACACCCACCGAATCCTAGGGTGGCCTTCCTCAGCCCCCCACCAGAATCGGGCCACGTGCCTATCCAAAAGACGACAAAGAGAGAGGGGCAGCCGAAAACACGACATAACATGCAGGGGCAAGGCCAAAGCTATTGACTTAATTAAAGTCTCCTTTGCCGCCCAGGACAATGTCTTTTGCTTCCACCCCTGCAGGCGCGCCAGTAATTTCTCTTCTAAATACCGGAAAGTGGCCATTTTGGAGCGGGCAATCAAAGTGGGTAACCCCAAATACTTATCATGGACCCCTACTGCACCGACCCCTAAAATTGCAGCCAAGAACTCTTGATCAGGTAAGGCCACATTCTTACTAAAACAGACTGCCGACTTTTCCAGATTAACCCGCTGCCCACTCAGCTCTTCATACTCATTCAGCACCACAATCAAATTTTCGCACTCCTGAAGAGAACCTCGCAGGAATAAATACGAATCATCCGCGAAAACCAAATGCGAGATCCTAGGAGCACGCGGCGCCACTTTCACCCCCTCCAACTTCTTTTCCAAGATCACCTTCCGTAGAAGGACCGCACACCCCTCCGTGCATAGCACAAACAAGAGAGGAGACAACGGGTCACCCTGTTTTGTTTTGCTTTTTCGGAACTCCTCACAGTCATAATCCGTACGGCCTAATGACTACCTAATCATAGTCCATAACTCAATGACACCAAAATGCAGATAATTTTGATCATTTCAAATATGAGCGGTTCTTATTTTGTTCACAGCACTATGAGATCACCTCATGACAAAGTAACAAAGTAAAAATGAAAAAAAAAACAAATTAATAAGGGGATTGTTAAAGAACTAACATAATATTTTTCTTAACTCACTCCCACATATTCAAGTTGTATCAAATTACTCATTTTTTGTTAAAAACCAATTCAAAACACCTCTTTGCTGGGTTGGCTCTATTAACAACAAAGACGCCAAGTAAAGCTTTTGACCCCTCACCAACCCAAGCCCACTTAGACTAAATGGGTCTGCTTATGGTAAAGACTGCGAACCAATCTGTCCCAGCAGGAAGTCAAATTGCCCTACTTTCCCTTTCGCACCTCTCCCATCCATACGGCAGCTTTGACCATATGGCATCGCCGGCGACGGCAGCGGAGGAGGAGAACCTCCCCCAGGTCCTACTTCTGCTCCACCCGGCGGCCTTCACCATCTTCGGCGAAGAGCACTTCACTTCCGCCAAGTTCCGGTTCTTGAAGGCCTACGAATCCAGCCTTCCGCTGGACGAGTTCCTAGCCGCCAACGCTCGATCCGTACGAGCACTCCTGGTCTCTGCCGCTACTGTTGTCGGCGCGGGCATCCTCGACCTCCTGCCGGAGCTGCGAGTCATCGTCACCACCAGCGCTGGGCTCGACCAGCTGGACCTGGCCGAGTGCCGCCGCCGTGGGATCAGGATCGCCAGCGCCGGGGATATATACTCGGCCGACGTCGCCGATTGCGCCGTGGGGTTGTTGATTGATGTGCTCAGGAAGATCTCGGCTAGCAATCGCTACGTCAAGAACGGGTTCTGGGCCTCTAAAGGAGACTATCCCCTGGGTTCAAAGGTGAATTGCTTTTCATTTTCTATTTGGGTGTTCTCTTAGCTGCTTTAATCAATTCCACTTGCTGGTTACATTGTTATTAGTGTTTTGGGATTGGAGTCGAGATTAGTTTTCAATGTCTATCTTTGCTTTTGCCTATATATCTAAGCATTCTGAGACAATGTTGGAATCAATGTGGTCAAAATCGCGCTATAAACCTTAAAAGCTTACCGTTTTACGCATTTAGATGGCTAAAACGCTCTTATGTAGTTACGTTTTTCACTGACTTAAGTGTAGTCGAATCGCGGTTTGAGTCTTAAAAGCTTAGGATTGACACTTTTGCGTGAAACTAGCTTAAGCAAATGGGGAGAATGAGGGCACTTGTCGTTGGTTTAAGCTCCATGTTCTTGACCAAAAGCAGCAGAGATTCCTCTGATGTAATCAGATCAACCCACTGCTGGTTTTCGTATGTACGAACGTATCTCCTCCATCATGCATTCATATTTCATACTATGTTTATTTCAGTTGCGGGGCAAGCGCATTGGAATAGTCGGACTGGGTCGAATAGGGCTTCAGGTTGCCAAAAGACTCCAACAGGGCTTCGGCTGCACCGTTTCATACAACTCCAGGAAGAAGAAGAACCCTGATCAGGTTCCATACCCTTTCTACCAAGACGTGCGGGAGCTGGCGGCGAACAGCGACGCCCTGATCCTCTGCTGCGGATTGACGGAGCAGACGCGGCACGCGGTCGACAAGGAAGTGCTGGCGGCGTTAGGGAAGGCAGGGGTGATCGTCAACGTCGCGCGAGGCGCGGTGGTGGACGAGAAGGAGATGGTGAGGTGCCTGGTGGAAGGAGAGATCGCTGGTGCTGGGCTGGATGTGTTCGAGGACGAGCCTGTTGTACCTAAAGAGCTGTTGGAGCTTGATAACGTTGTGTTGAGTCCTCATTCTGCTGTGTTGACCAGGGAATCCATGATGGAGCTGGCCCGGCTTGTGGTGGGGAATCTGGAAGCCTTCTTCTCGAACGAACCACTGCTGTCCGAGTATGAGGATGACTAATTGCAGGAATTGCAGGGGGGTGTTTATTTGGTTTGTGTTGTACCGTTGGAAGTTGTAGCAAATCCAAATGTACCCCGTCTTATTTTGTTCTCACCGTTATGAAAAAGAATCATTTGACGTTTTATGCATATTTTAGATCTCATCTTTAAGTGTTTTATATATCTGTCACAAACGTGAAAGTCGTGACTATAAAAGTGTAATTTGTCTTAATTAAAATATCTGATTTATCCTTGAAAAACACATTAAAGTAAGGTTGGGCATGCGGGCGGATCATCTGCGGGTTTGGGCCGACCCACCCGCATTTGACCCGAATTTCGTTAAGTGTGTGGGTCTGTGGGTGGGTGACGGGTTGCGCTGAGAGCCATCCGCCGGGTGGTGGGTGGGTTGTGAGTGAGTGTGCGGGTGACCCGCTCAACCCAACAACAAAAAGATCAAAGTCGTTGGCGCTAGAGAGAGGAGAGTGGAAGCGTTAGATATAAACTCGGACTGCTCCTGGAGTTTGAACCTCAAAGCCAGCCTTCCAAATAGAGATCCCCTCTTCTTCCCTTTACTTTTTCGGTTTTTCCTCTAATTCTTGTACCTAGATCACCGCTCTTTCCTTTGTGGAATTATTTTCCTTAGTTCCTTGCACCTAATAATCGTCTCAATCTGTAGAAAACTCTTTCATAATAGAATTTCTATCAAATTTAAGAACTAATTCGACATTTTTCGCCCTATTTCAACTTCTTGTTTCCCTCGATGATTCTCTTCACCTATTATCATGTCAAGTTGACTCCTTTATATTATATACATTGTGATGTGAGTGAACCCACAAAGCCACCCGCATCATCCACCATCTGCCCGACCCAACCCGAGACTAAATGTGGGTGGGTGGTGGATTAAAAATTATCAATCCGTTTAAGCATAGGTGGGTGCATTTTATGGTCAAAATCCACCCGACCCACCCAATCCCACCCCTACATTAAAGTTTGACGCCTTAAGTACTTAGAAGTTAGAACCAAGACCGAATGACCCGAATACCGTTTTGTCCTTGGTGACGAGATCGGTCCAACCACTGTCACATTCTACGTTTGAAAGTGGCGTACAAGCTGGGTCCTGAAAACGACACCGTCGGCAAGGGCAGTGGACAGTGGTAGGAAAGTGAAACCCCAAATATTATTACGGTATTACCCCCAAGCACGGAAAAGGCAAAGCAGCAGCACTTCATCGCTTTCAGCAAGATAGAGCAAGAAAGAGCGACTGGAGAAGGAAGGAAGCAGAGCATACGAAGTAAACTAGGAAAGGAAGAAGAAAGAGTTCCTCGTCGTTTCCTTTCCTTCTTGCGATACGAATGTGATCTCTGTTCCAAAAGCATTGCAGCTGGACAGAGCAATCTAAGCTCCCCATATCCTCTCAAGTCTCAAGCACACAACTTTGATCTTCCGCCATAGCAGTCTCCATTGTTACTTCCGCTTCTGGCGGGTTCCGTCCCTCCCTTATGGACTCTCTTTGAAATAAGTCGATCCAATTTCAGACTCCCCCATTTTCGCGAGAGATCTGTCCTCACAATCGTCGGCACTCGGTAATTCCTTTCCTCCTCTCTTTCCCCCTCTCCTTCCGATATTTTATTTTCCTGCGTGTGATCCGGTTTCGATTCTAGGTTTCGGGCAAGCAATGCCGCTCAAGAGGGGATTGTCCGCCAGTCGGAACAACCGAGGCCCCGCTGGTGGATCTCGATTGCCGATTACGCTTGCGTTATTCTTCTTCTTGTTCTTGGTGGCTCTGATGTTCTCCGTTGGTCCTTGGCTCCGCACCGGCGCTCCGATCGGTTTGTATTCTCCCTTTTTTCTCATTGCTTCTTTTTCAATTGGTCTTTGTTTTAGTTGGAAGCTGAAATTTTTGAACCACTTACATGGTTGAATGTACGATAGCCTTACATTAGACCTAGACATTGAAAGGTGAATGCGAGGGCTGAGTAGCTTTTGCCTAGTTCTTTAGCAACCTGATGGTACCTCGTAACTTATCCAAGTGGTTAAATGATTGAATGGTCGTGGCAGAGCTTTCACAATGTAGTGATGATTTGGATCTTTGGTTCATACCATCCACGACCCTTTGCAAATGACATGTTGGTTGGAATCTCATTTTCCAAACACAGATGATATGGTTTCTATTAGTTGTGTTTGCACTTGGTTAATTTGTGCTCATCTTTCCTATTGTTCATATAAAATTCAATGAGCTGTTTGTTTCTCTAGGTAAACGTCTGGTTCAATCAGATCACAGTTGTGACAGTGCGCCCAGAGTACATAATAATGTCCTGGTGTCGTCTCTAGCTTCCTTGTCATTTTTCTAGCTCATCATCGTTATCTTCCTTTTTGTGCATTGTTGTAGGGTCCCACTGATTTTAGATGAATGTACAGATTTTTATTCGGTTGAGCTGGTCTCGTAAATGCATCTCCTGATTGCTAGACAGTATTGATCGCTTCTCTATGAGTTGCTGTAGGAATTTATAGTGATGATTTTTACCTGTGCAGATGAAGCCAGTCTTCTGAGTGGCTCCATTAACCAGGTAATGCTTCTAGACATCTCTCATTTGTATAAAGCCTGTAATTTTTCAGTTCCATGCTTGTTTAGCTTTGTTATGTTTATCCCGTAAGATAGAGGTTTGTTGATTGATCCAGGATTTGGATTGGAGAGAACGGTTGGCATTGCAACATGTCAGATCGCTTTTCACTAAGGATGTAAGTGTTAACTGTAGTGAGTCTACTTCCCAGGATAAAAATGTGTCATTTCGACTGTTTTCTGCACAATTGATGTTACCATAATGCATAGTCTTATCCTCTTCTGAGGTTACCATAATGTGGCTGTTCCTAAGATGCTGGTCGAATTGGGCATTTAGGTCATTGATGTGATCACAGCTAATACTGCTGATTTGGGGCCTTTTAGTCTTGATGCTTTTAGAAGAAGCAATCTGTCTGCTTCGTGGAAACTTGTTGGAGCTGAGGCTTCAGCTGACCATTTATCCTCGTCCGAGGTTAGTATCACTATTTTGGTCTGTATGTGATTTCATTGCATCAGTACTGTGAGTTGCATTCCATGTAGAGATTACGACACTGAATTTTCCCTCTGTCTGGTTGTCATTATTTCAGTTAAAACCAAAGCAATCAGCTACCATTGTCAAGCAAGAAGTACCTACCAAAAAAGATACAAAGTTGTCTGGTGATGCTTTTTTAAAACTGTGTAATCTAATATTTGCTGTTTGTTCCAAGTTTTGTGGCTGACTGGTTTTGCTTTCTTTTCTTGTTCAGATGATCAGGCTCCATTTGTTGAATCACCTGAAAAATTTGCTCGAAGGGTATTTATACTTGTTCCATAGCTTTTATGTATCAGTTATTATCTACTATTCATGTGGTTACTCAGATTCGAATTTTTTTTAATCGTGCAGCAACTAAGAGAAAAAAGACGCGAAAAACGTGCAGCGGAGTTGATGCGGCAAGGAGATGAAACAACTATAAAATTTGAAAATGCTGCTATTGAACGCTCTAAATCAGTTGACTCTGCTGTTCTAGGAAAATACAACATTTGGAGAAAAGAGATCGAGACAGAGAATGTTGATTCTACTGTACGCTTAATACGAGATCAGATGATAATGGCAAGGGTATATATAAGTATTGCAAAGATGAAAAATAAGCCTGGTTTGCAGCAAGAGCTACAAACTCGACTTAAAGAGAGTCAGCGTGTCGTAGGAGATGCAACAGCTGATTCCGAACTACATCAAAGGTAGTGATGAATGTGACTATGGTTGGGTTTAATCCGGCATCTCTCCCTTTCCAATTTGCCAGTTACTTCGCTTTTGGTATGACCGATGACTAATTTCTTGGTGGGACTAATGCCAAATTGTTTCTTGTAGTGCTCCGGAGAAAATTAAAGCCATGGGGCAAGTTTTGTCCAAATCAAGAGAACAGTTATATGACTGTAAAATCGTCACTGGGAAGCTCAGAGCAATGCTCCAGACAGCTGACGAGCAAGTCAGGAGCTTGAAAAAGCAAAGCACATTCCTGAGTCAATTGGCTGCTAAGACAGTTCCTAACGGAATTCATTGCTTGTCTATGCGCCTAACAATAGACTACTATCTCCTTCCTCTAGAGAAGAGAAAGTTTCCGCACAGTGAGAATCTGGAAAATCCAAGTTTATACCACTATGCTCTCTTCTCTGATAATGTTTTAGCAGCTTCAGTTGTTGTCAACTCAACTATTGTGAATGCAAAGGTGATGCTTTCTTATTCTTGGTACTGCTGAATTTATTTTCCTTCATTTCAAAAAGTTGCTGCCTGCATGCTAACGGCTTGGTTGTTCCCCATATTATTGCAGGACCCATCCAAACATGTATTCCACCTGGTTACCGATAAACTAAATTTTGGAGCAATGAATATGTGGTTTTTATTGAATCCCCCTGGAAAGGCCACTATCCACGTCGAGAATGTAGATGAATTCAAGTGGCTTAATTCATCCTACTGCCCGGTTCTCCGTCAGCTGGAGTCTGCTGCAATGAAGGAGTATTACTTCAAGGCAAATCACCCCACATCTCTCTCTTCCGGTGCTTCAAATCTGAAGTATCGGAATCCCAAGTATCTCTCGATGCTCAATCACCTGAGGTTTTATCTTCCAGAGGTTTATCCCAAGTTGAATAAGATACTGTTTCTTGATGATGACATCGTCGTCCAAAAAGATCTGACAGGGCTATGGGCCGTGGATCTGGATGGAAAAGTGAATGGTGCGGTGGAAACATGTGGCGAAAGCTTTCACCGGTTTGACAAGTACCTCAACTTTTCAAATCCTCACATCGCCAGAAACTTTGATCCGAATGCTTGTGGATGGGCATACGGTATGAATATATTTGATCTTGAAGAGTGGAAAAGGAAGGATATCACTGGCATATATCACAAGTGGCAAAACATGGTGAGTCTTGGTAACGATTTGAAGAAATTCATGGCTGTTGTTGACTCTTATGAATAATAATATTGTCGAGGTTCTGTTTTTCATAGGAGCTTTCTGCTCTCTTTTGTTATGTTATTTCTTTGATAATAATACTAGCACCTTGGTCTTGTAACAGAATGAGGATAGGGTACTTTGGAAGCTTGGGACGCTGCCACCAGGTTTGATAACATTCTATGGATTGACGCACCCACTTGAGAAGTCATGGCATGTCCTTGGTCTGGGTTATAACCCAAGCGTGGACAAAGGGGAGATCGATCGTGCTGCAGTGGTTCACTATAATGGCAATATGAAGCCATGGCTGGAGTTGGCAATGACGAAATACAGGCCATATTGGACCAAGTACATCAAGTATGATCATCCCTATCTGCGCAAGTGCCGCCTAAGTGAATGAATGAGCCCCAATTGGTAAGGCTGGGTACACAGCAGAAATGCAGTTACTTGATGCAGGCACGAGAAGAAGGAATGTGGCTGAGTTTTCTGTGCTGCACTTCCGTCCGAATTCCACTATTGTTCATACATCTTCAGTTCCTCTTTCCATTCATTGCATTCGTTTCCATCATTTCCTACAGCCGTTGGAAGCAGTTACTTGATAATTCCCATCTCTCTCCCATGTTGACCTGTAAAATATCCCAAAACAAGACTGACTCTCTCTCTCTCTCTCTTCCATCTTATTGCTTTCAGCTTTTAGATCTCTTGTATTTGGTCCTGGATGGATGTTTCAGGAACTGAGTTCGGTTTGACAGTCTAGGAAAACTCCACATATGTGTTAGCTTTCGACAATGCTGTTTGTCAGAGATGACTATGAGGAATCACAGTCCACTGACTTGCAAATTGCAATACCACCTTTTCAAACACCTTTTTAGGCTTTTGATATCCAGGAATTAGGATAACATCATAGGGGGTGTGCAATGAACCGGACGAACCAAACCTTGAGAATCACGATCCAAAAGTAAAAAGAAAAATAAGACAAGGACCATATCAACCTTGAATTCGACCAAATGTGATTCGGTTTGGTCCAATCCACATATCGATCAGGTTATTTTTCCTTAAGTAGTTATAACACTCATAAGGACTGGACCACATTATATTAGATCGGTTTGGTTTAGTCTCGATGTCGGTTTGGTCTGGTGTGGTATGCTCTGGAGCAAATCATTGCACACCGTACCTTATTGGGTCGGATATGGTTCAATTTTGTTGGCTAAAAGAGAAAACCGACACAATTTTATTTGTTTTTTAGCTGGGTTATCCTCTAACTCTTTCCTTCGATGAATTCCTCATCCCCAATTCATTACAACTTCTCCTCCATTCTCGTTTTTTCTCTCTATCCAAAACCAACACAAGCTACATCAAGATTCTTGGCGTCACCGTCCTTTCCTAAGGTCTAAATCATCCCTACTTTTCCAAAAGACTTAGAGCTAGCGTTTGCCTTGTTTTGGGTTGCAATTTGGAATTTGGAAGAGTACGGCAAATTTTGAGCTCAATTGTGGCTGGTTGGAATTGTATGTTTGGGTTCCTGCTTTTCTTTTGTGTTGCCTATCTAGTGAGATGTTTGGATAGGATTTGGGGAGAAATTTGTTTATTGTCCTTGGACGGTGATCAGGGTTTCCAATCATCAAGGACGTTTGTTTAGAATTGGAAGACCGACAAGTCAATTTCAAGTTGCAGGTTTGGAGTTAGAGGTAAATATGATGCTGGTGTTATGGATGGAAATAATATCAAGTTGATTCTACATGGAAAGTCCTGACCTGGGTTGAACTTGCTGCATGTTTTAATTTGCTGATCATCCTTAGGAGCATTTAGAGGCAAGGGAGAATTTGGCACATTTGGAGATTTGGAGAGTTTGTTACATCTAGCAATTTTGATTGCATTTGAGTTTGGCGATATGCATCGCATTTGAGTTTGGCGATATGGATCGTATTTGGATATGTCTGGCAATTTTGATTGCATATGAGTTCAGTGATTTGCATCACGATTGAGTTTGGCGATTTGTATCGCATCTGGATATATCTGGAAATTTTGATTGCATCTGAGTACACTTGACGATATGGATCACATCTGGGTACAGTTGGCAATTTGGTCACATTTGGTACATAAGGTATTTGGGAGAGAATTCAAGTCAACGTGGAGATTTGTGAAATGGTTTCTCCCCTTCCAAGAAAAATCACTTGTTGAAACCGGATAGTTCAATTAGTATGATATTGCCCGCTTGAGGTCAAACTCGCACGTATTTTCTTTTGAGTATCCTCCACAAAAGGATTCATACTAATGTGCTTGGTGGACACTTATATACCAGGGTCATTTCCCTTGTATTATCAATGTGGTACTTGGATTGTTCCATAATATTCCTCCCCTCAAAACAAGGACCATGAACATCATGGCCTCCCTCAACAATTATCTTGATCTGCTAAACCATATGTGTAAAGCAATCACATAATAATAAAAGAAAGAGTAGTCAGACAATCGATTTACGTGGTATTTTTTGAATGCCCAGGACTAATCTACAAAAGAGTTAGGATTCTTCAACCTACTAATATCATTCATTGTTCTGTTACATTCATTCGCCTCTACACCCTTTATATATGCGCAGCTCTCTCTAACCCTAGCCAGCCGAGCCCTAGGAGAAGGTCACACGTGAACATCTTTCTCCTTGCATGAGCTGCATGGGCCAAGAGAAACAATGGGCCAATCGGAGACCATGAAACAAAAGAAAACATCCACACTCCTTCCTATACTACAATTCGCCTATCTATACTAACATATATACAAGGTACTAATATATGTGTTAGACATGTATATCGACTAACAATGTAGACCACCTTTGATTTGACAGACAATGGCAGACCTCCTTTGATCCGCCAAACGTGGATCTCTCATGGATCCACCAAACAGACGCAAAACTTAAATCCTGAGGTCACTGAACACCAAACTGACGTCCAACGCCTTTGATCCACCGAACCAAGCTCTGATACTCAGCGGCGGATCTAGGGGAGCCGCCCCCGGGCCATGGCCCAGCCCTCCCCGGATCCAAAGCTCGTATAGCACTTGTAAATTCTCGATTTTGGGTATATATTTCAATGTTTATAGGGTTACGACCCAACCCTCTTCACCGTTTTTTAAATGCGGCCCAATGCTCTAACTTGTTCTGGATCCGCCGCTGCTGATACTGATGCTATAGTAGATGTAATTGCCATAGAGGGTTACCTTTGATTTCATAATGAAATTTTCATTGGTCGAATTCTCAAGAAAAAACAGTTTCAGATATAATGCACTCAAAGTCTAGTTTTTAGGTAGAAGCAAAATGATGGCTAAAATAAAAAGCGCAAATCCTAACCAATATGGTCGTTTTTAGGTAGAATTCAAATAATAATAACTTAGACTTTTACGCTTTGAACCAAGCTTTTCGCTGCATTGTCGATATCTTTTGTCGACCCGGGTAGTTCGAAATGCGGAGGCATTGTTCAAAGTGCCAAAAAGTCTTTTTTTATCACGAGAGGTTCCAATTCTTATGTCTTTCTTTGTCTGATTGGGAGTTTCACCTTTTTTCGTAAACTTGCATCTCATCTTATTTATGTCGACTCTGCAGAATCAACTCAGCTGGGAGATAAATGGGAGAGGGAACTGGAAAGGGAATGCGATCGAGAATACTGGAATGTTGCATGGAATATTTGTCCTTGCAGCTCTTCTGTCAACTCAAAGCAGCAGAGATTTGGTTAGACGTCGACCACCAGTCCGTACTGCCTTTTTTGATGAGTTGGCTGGCCGCCGGTTTCTGTTGGCTGTTATTATTTTCATTTCCATTGAACTACCAAGAAGACCAAGTTGGCAGAAGTGGCTTCTCTCCGTCTGTTAAGAACCCAAATTTGGAAAGTTGTGCTCTCGTAGTGTCCCATCCAAATCCACTTAAAAAATTTGTATTTTTTTGTGTGAAATGTATATGTAATTTGGTTATTAGTTCGTAGCATGGGAATCATGTGCTTCCTTTCCATCAGCACATTATCATTGGGGAACAATCGATGACTAAACGAGACCCAATCCTGTCTCCCTCTTTTGCTTTTATATCTGAATTGAATAGAATGAAACTCGAGTTTTAGAAGTTAAATTGACTTATAGGAATGTTTAAGGATTAAAGTTATAAGTATTCGATTCAAACGTGTCCTTAGAGAACACAAATGTTTATGCTATGTGAGTTAAATATGAACATTTTTTGAAATTTAATCACTAAGATATCAAAATATTAAAGTGGAGACTAAGCTTATATATTTAATATTTGTGAAGTTAAATTAAAAAAAGATGGGTAAGAAGAAATACTTTACAGAAATAAATAACACAAGTAGGGGTGTCAGTTCGGGTCGGTTACCCAAACCGAAACCCGAAAAAACCCGAAAATCCGAAACCGAAAACCACTAAAACCGAACCCGAACCCGATAAGGACTTGCGGGTTCCGGTTACCCGAAACCTGAAAATTTCTTATCGGGTTCGGTTTCGGTTAAAGCAAAACCGAAACCCGAAAACTCGAACGCTTAAAAATACGGGCTGAGTTCTATTCATTGGAGGTTTTTAGCCGGAACCCGAAAAACCGATAAGCAAAACCGAACCCAAACCGAAAAACCCGAAACCCGAACTCGAAAAACCGGAAATGTATATAATCGGGTCGGTTTCGGGTAAACCCGAAAAACCAAACCCGAATTGACACCCCTAAACACAACAAGAAAAATTTGAACCAAAATTATTGTAGTTAACAAAATTGCCAAGTACTGAGTTCTAGACAATTTAAACGTTGTTTGGTGCGCCCATTGGGTCTGAGTATAATGAGAGACAAAATGCAACAAAATGTCCTAGTATAGTGGAGAGACAAAAATGCAAATGTAGAGGCAAGATATCAAAATATTAAAGCGGACATCAGTCTCTCCCCGTTGGTGAAACTTTGCCCTCAAAGCTGGTGTTTTCCTGCAAGAGATAACATCAACAGAATTTCCAAATGAAATCCTCCTTAATTAGCTCAGTCAACATGTGCCTTCGAGAAATAAGATGCGTTCCACCTTCGTCTTCTGACTTCGTGCCACTTCAAGTTCCTTTCTCCTTTGCCCAAGTTAGCTCCATATGTCGTTGATCTTTGGGGACTTCAGCTGGCGACAACGATTTGAGCAGGAACTTCCGATCGCTTTGCTTGAACCGATAGCTATCATGTCTTCCGTCGTGAGTAACTCCACGATCATACTTCCACGGACGACCCAATAAGAGATGAGAAGCCTGCATTGGAGCAACATCACACCAGAATTCATCTGCATACTCACCAATCTGAAATCGAACCTTGACCTTTTTGTTGACCTTGATGGCTCCATAGTCGTCCAACCAATGAAGGTTATAAGGCTGCGGATTCTTAATGGTACTCAACCCCAGCTTCTTAACTACATCAAGACTCAGTACATTGGTGCAGCTATCACCATCAATCACTACAGACAATAACTTTTCATCCATCAGGCAGCGGATATGAAATAGATTATCAGTTGTTCTTGTTCAGCTAGAGATTCAAGAGAGAGCACTCTACGATTGACTCCAAGAAACTTACCTGTTGGAGGAATTTCAACAGTGATGTGCTCATCAACATCATCATCAGAATCAGAATCGATTCCTTCCCCTATTGGCTTCTCTTATTCTTCCTCCTCAGAAAAGAACTCGCCATCCAGCAAGAGCAGAGCCTTCTTGTTGGGACACTAGTTTTCCTTGTGACCTCGTCCCAAGAACTTGAAGCATTGGATGCTTCCAGTTGATCTTTCATTCCTGGCTTCAATGATTGAGATCGTGTTCCTAGTCATTGTCTTGTCACCCTCTTGCCTAGGGCGATTCATAGTAGTCTCAAGAATGCTCTCTGTAGCAGGTTTGGGCGAAGGTGGGTACCTTATTCTAGAGCTAACCTTCAACTACTTCTCCGCCTTAATGGCTAGGGTTGGTCGGTTCCAATTGGAATGCCTTGTTGTCGATTCTCCTCGGGAAGAAATAGAATCCAGCCTCTTGTTGATCTAGTCGAATTGAACTTAGAAGGTCGCATTCAATTGCGTCATGATAGTCTGCAACAATTCTGAAACATTAACATGTTGCTCTTCCATTGCTTGTTTTTCTATTGGGGTTTCTTTCTCTGATGAAGAATCCTCTTCTTTCCTGTGGTTTGCTAATTGCTATGGGATCTTTGGATCTCGTACGAGAAGAAACAGGTCCTCTCGGCTTCCTTCTCGCCACTGTTTTGAACCGGACTCTGATACCACTCGATACGAGCACGGATCCGGCACCCGTAGTGATCAAAGTCACGCGACTTCAAAATCGAACAAGAGAAGGAATTTTCAGGGTTTTTGTTTTGGGATAGGATACAATTGAAAGTGAAATCTCAATACAAAGATGGGCGAGAAGGCTCTAAAAATATAAAATCTAGAAGATCGTCCACAATAAAGGGGGAAAACTTGATTGATACAAAGTAACAAATTCTCAAGCCTAAAACTCAAATTCTTCTCTTATTGCTCCTGTTTAAATCCCCGGTGGCCTCCTCAAAATACCCGGGCGGGTAATTGCCCCTTCAACCCTGAGAACTCTCTTGTCCGAATCCCCGGGTTCCTCCTCGAATTCCACGAGGAGGAACCCCCACTTATGACCAGGAAATTTGGCTTTTACCGGCCAATCTTGCTCCCTTGACACACCTCCTTCTCCAAGATCCAACGAGCATTGTCGTGGCTCCTGAGGCTTGCATCAACCTTCATCATTATGGTGATCTCCCTGATCGATCCATGTCGTTTTGCCTCCTGTTAACTCTAGGATGATATGCTTACTGGACTAGTTGAGTCGAGAGAGTAGTCTGTATTAGCACTTGTACCTTTTAACTTGTTTCTTAATATAATTTGTTGACTCTTATAAAAAAATTGACAATGGAGGAAAGGAGATGAAAATAAGTTATTGTGTTTTTTGGATGGAAAGTGAGGAATCTGAGAAGTGAGTGAAGAACTATAGCATATGATTTTTTGGAGCACATATCATTACTAACGACTGCCATTTGTGGTTGGCGGAATCGGGCTAAGAAAGCGACGCCACTTTATTGCTAAGTTCTCCAGTAATTAAGTAAATTGCTTACGTACACGACTATTTAACTTAATTTTTCTATATGGTCGTGTTTTACCTAAGTGAAACGCTATTGCCCTTAGGATTAATTGAAATCGATTTCACCTGGAGCAATAAGAGAAAAAAACACGATAGAGGACAAAATAAAAATTTTTCCCAAATTGCGATCGTCCTCGATGATTTAATAACAAAATCATTGAAAACCTCAACGATTTAGTAAAAAAGCAATGTAGGTTGAGAAGATTTGTTAGGGAGCAAGTATTGTGATTAAAAAAATTGTGGGATGGTGTATTTTGGGGGGAAATTCAACTTGAAAATATTTATTTGGCTTAATAAACAAAGTTGAATGATCATCATCATCATCATGATTATATAGAACCCAAAGGGTTTAGTCTAATTCTAATACAACCACCAACCTACTCTACAAGTACAGTCTAAAGATGCCTATATATATGTTAGTACTTAGTAGCGCACAATGGATCTAATCATATAATTTGTTCGATATTTTATTAATAAGGGTGCCTAATATATGGGATTTTGAGAGCTGTACTATTGATTTGAGACATTACCACGGTCACCTACTGAATCTAATTAGAATTTTGGTACCAATAATTGTAACCAGCATTACATAATCTTATCTAATCTAATTGAAACCCACTTCAAAATCCCCCCCTATATTTTTTGATTAATAACCAAAATCGTATCCCTTTTATGATGAGTACGTAGGATCCACTGTACCCTTCTTCCCAATTGCTCTAATCTAATCTTATCAATAATAAACCCAATATTATTCATAATTAATCTTTTTTTCCCCCAGCTAATCTAGCTGATAGGCACAGCACTTCTTGACCTCTTCAAAAATCGAAAAAAAACAAAACAAAACCCTCCTCCCGCAAACAATAACAAACCCAAAAAAAAAAAAAAAAACAGGGGAGAATAAATGCCGCTTCCTAGCTTAGCTAATTTTATTTTGTTGTATCTCTTGTCTGAAGCCAATTCGTGAAGGCATCCAAGGTGTTCATGTCCGCTCTGTAGTTTTTCTGAGTGAACTCCAAAAAAGTCGGCCAGGTGAAATCCGGGTAAGCCCTCTCTGAATTACCACTACGATGATCGTCGTCGTCGTCGCTCACATTCACCGTCGACAATAGTGACTCCGGTGGCTTCACCACTCTGTCTCCGTTCGGGCACAAGAAGAAAGCCAGCGACTTCCTCACCGTGTACTTGTTCAACACCGCCCTGTGCAGGCAACTTCGGTACACCCCGTTCGATAGTGCCTGGTACAATCAAAATGGACGGAAAATTTGGTTTACTTTTTTATGTTACATATCAAATCACACATTGAGAAGTCGGGAAAATCGATTTTTTTTTTTCTTTTTAGTAGCGTACCATGAAGGTGTCGCCGATGTTGACCACAAACGCGTCAGGGAGAGGGGCGACGGAGTGCCATTTAGAGTCGACAAAGACCTCGAGGCCGCCGACCTGATCCTGGTGTAGGATCGTGAGGGAAGTGGGGTCGCAATGCGGTCCGGTCCCTAGTGCCATGTCAGGCTTTTGGCAAGGTGGGTAGTAGTTTAATCTCATTATCGACTCATTCCCTTCAAAAAAATCCCTATAGTGCTCCCTTCCTACTCCTAGGCTCACCCCGAGCAACTCCATTATCCTCAGCGACAAATTGCTCATCGCCTCGCAATACTCCTGGTACACCTCCCTGTTTTCCACAATTTTAGATTTTTTAAAAAAATATATTAATTACAAAATTCGTATAGATTTTTTTTTTTTTTTCGTTGGTTGTTGGCCTTAAGATTCGAACGACGACGACGCAGGGTGTAAAGGTAAAACTCACCCGAAGTGCGTGAAGTCTTGGCCAATTTGATTCAAGACGTAATCGCGGACGGTGTTGTTTCCGCCGCCCGGGGAGCGAAACGACAGCGTTTCCTTCCAGGGGAGCTTGGAGGAGAATCGGCCGGTGAAGCTGCTGGCGTAGCCGCACGACTCCCCTGCTTTCCTCTGAGCTCTCTGCTTCTCCGGCAGCCGCATCCCGAAGAACTGGTCCATGCACCGGTGGGCCTCCGACACCAGCTTCGGGTCGATGCCGTGGTTGACGACGAGGAAGAACCCGTGCTTCCTGCACGCCCCGTTCACGACGACGGCGGCGGCGGAGACGGCGGAGGGATCGCCGGACGCGAAGCTTCCAAGGTCGACGGGCGGGATGGCGAGCTCCGGCGCCGATCCCGGCCGGGGCCTGTCCGCGTGTGGCCAGACGAACTGCGGCGGAATGTTGGACTGCTCCTGGAGAACAGAGGCGTCGAAGACCAAGGGCTCGGTCGCAGCGGCGGCGATAGCTGGAGGAGGAGGAGGAGGAGGAGGAGACATGTTAATTTTGATCGGAAGTGGGCGCCGGCAAAGTGTTTGTTAAAATGCCTCAGCGACAAGGAATATGAAGAATCAAAAAGAAAAATTTTGAAAGATTGAGAAGGTGCTCAACGTTCGATGGATGGACTCTGTCTGTCTCTGAGACAGAGGGAGGGATTTAAAGGAGAAGGAAAAGGAGCCTTTGATTTTTTTTTTTTTTTTTTTTAGAAAAGAAGGAATTCCGTGGGATTTGAAATGTGATGAAACCAAATATTGGAATCAAGCTTTTGAAAGAAGAACGCACTCGCTCACTCGATACTTAATTAGCTTGTAGCAGTCTCCCAGCCCGAGTGCTCACTCTCTAGTTTTCAACCCGATTTAACCTGTTGGTTCGATCGAGCGAGTGGGTTAATGGTTAATGGTTAATGATCCGATTGATTTGGTACGAATATATGAAAAAGTTATTATACTGTCTGTACATATATAATTTATAATATATCTCATCTAACATATGAGTAATAACATATATACAAATATAACACCAAAATAATAATTCGTATTTGAAACCAACATATGATAAAAATTCAAAGACGCTTAAAACCAGCATATAAGTTCACGATGGGCACATTGAATGAACTGGAACGACATAGGAACGTAGATAAATTTCAGTAATTAGAAGAACTGTAACCCATCATTTGTGACGGCCGACGGGTGAGTTTGATATGAAGTGGTGGGTTGGTGGCGGGGTGAGATTTGTACTTGTGAAATCGAAGGAAAATGGCTTTTTTCTTGAATGAATGTTCGTTGATCGAGTTTTCCTAGTTTTGACCGGATTGTAGCCGATTTTTTCGAATTTTTTTACCGGAATAAAGCGGGTTTTTTTATGAATCCAGATGAAGAGTGAAACGAGTGTGTGACGCCTGCTTTTTATCAAGGATAGTGAAACTGTACCGGAGGTTATACTGTAAAAAAAATCAGTGGTAGGGTACATTATACCAAAACTGTTGTTTAATCAGAGTTCTACTATTTCCTACCGTCAAAACCGCTTACCATCTTGAATCAGGTATCCGGTATTTCCGATCCGACCGACCGATACAATAGGATTTTTTCAAATATGGGTTTTTTCCCATCGGGTCTGGGTCGACCCTGAGCTAACAACCTTGTTTTCTAGTCTCTAGCTAATATAAACATTAAACAATAGCAAATCAATTCTCTTTTATTTATTTATTTTTCATTACAAATTGTTATTTTGTTTCTATGATTATTTTTCTAAGTGATGGGTGTGAGTGTGAGTAGGGGTAGGTAGTCTCATGGTTTGTCGTATCCCTTAATCTTGACTTATTTGTTTAATGAGCCCCTTAATTGTTGTGATTTTGACAGTCCTATAATAATAAAATTATATTATAATTAGTTAGTAGTTTGTTTTTATGGTTGGAAGCCCCTATGCTGCGTTTGGCAACTGGAACGCTTTTCACATTCATAGAGAGCAAGAGCAATTGCCAATTAGCAAAGCATATATATGCTGTCTGGTGCGGGAATGGATCAGGTGAGTAACCTTATGGTGAGTAACCATGAGTAACCCGTCCACATCAGCATGACATCAGCATCCTCTCTCTCATGGAAAGCCTTTAATTTTTCCCTCTTTAATTTTTGACGAACGATTTCTCGCTCATTTTAAGTCAAAATTTAATTTTTTTTGCACAGTTAGATCAGATTAATTGTGCTTTTCAAAATGATATCCACTTTAATATATTTTTCGAACAAAAAAAATTGAGCCATTTTTTACCAGCCTATACCATATGGTATTGACTGGTATTGAAATTAAAGCATACCTATGTTTTGAAAAACGTACCATGGTGATATGAACAAACCAATACTGTAGGATGGTTGAATACATGATAGTAGAAGTATAATAATTGTAATTTACGACTTTTAACATTGTATACCACACAATACCACCCCGTACCAGGGTGGTATTGTATGGTATTGTGTGGTATTTTTTGGTCCTGTAATTTGTTCACCCAGAAATTTGTAGATCCAATAGATCATGATGAACTAGTCCCTTCTGTGCAAACGTTTTCAAAAACGAATTAAAAACGAAGAAGATACCATACAATACCACCCCGTACCAGGGTGGTATTGTATGGTATTGTGTGGTATTTTTTGGTCTTGTAATTTGTTCACCCAGAAATTTGTAGATCCAGTAGATCATGATGAACTCATCCCTGCTGTGCAAACGTTTCCAAAAACGAATTAAAAACGAAGAAGATACCATATGGTATGCAGTTGGTACCGAGAGGCCAGAACTTTTTTTTCCTAAAAAAATATTGAAAATTGATCTCATTTTGTAGAGCACGGTGAACTCGTTCCATCTGTGCAAAAAAAATTAAAATCCGAGTTAAAACGAAAAAGATATGAGTCAATTAAGAAAGCTAGTGAAAATAAAAATAGCCTTTAATTCTCCATTCTTAGATCTGGATTTTCTAAATGAAGGGTCCAGATTTGGTTATTGATGGGTGCATAACCATGGGTTATGCACTCTATCTTGAGCCGTCTGGTGCTTTTATTTTGACCGGTGGATTTAGAAAGTGCTAAACTACCTTTTTCGTGTTTTAACTTGATTTTGTATATATTTTACAACACACACTTAAATGAGAGATTAATTAATTAATTAATAACGGTAGAGCCAGCCAGCCAGCTTTTATCGTTAATGTAATGTAATGGTCGTTTCCCTTGGTAACTTACACACTTGCGCTTACGGTTGATTTATTATGAGTTGTCTCATTATACATTCCGCCTCTTTTCGTTCATCTAATTTCTCTTCTAATTCGCTATAATTAATTAACCTACCTGCACCCAATGTTAGTTAATTAGGAGCTGGGTGGGTGTTATAACTTATAACCGTACACGAATCATGGGAGTACGTACGTAGACCGTAGTAGTTATATATATCTCGTACGTGTACTCCAAGTTACATCTGAAAATTTATATTATATATTACAGCATCCAGGTTATGCACAGTTGCATAATTAATCAGATATTAACCATTAATTTTAAGTGGAGAGAGATCTAAGAGATAATATTTTTTGATTTTTTAATATTTTTCTTAATCAGCTTTATCTTTTTTTCTTTCTAATTTGGATATAAAAAAACATTTACCCAGATAGAAATGGTTCGTGGTGATCGTCTTCTTTTTTTTTAATCAAAGATAATCATATATATTGATAAGATAAGATCAAAAGTTACACCCTGGATCCAACCCGGGCACGAAAATCGTACAAACGACACGCTGTCGGAGACAAAGAAAGGGCCTTCCTAGCCAGTAAATGGGCTGCCCTATTGCTATTCCGACCTACGAACTGAACGCAAAAGCCACTATTCAAACCAAGCAGACACAGAATCTCTTTGATAATAGCACCTACACGACTATCTTCCGCATCCTTGGCATTAATCTTGTCAGTGAGAACCTTGGCATCACATTCAAACCTCACTTGAGGGATGTCATGGTCCTGACACCACTGGATAGCTTCACAGAGGGCAATCGTCTCTACCACCAGGGGATCAACCACGCCCTCCAGGAAATAGTCCTTTCCCCGCCACTACATTCCCTCGTTCATCCTTCACAATCAGCCCTCCCGCTTCATGGGAATTAGCACTCACGACACCATCCCACATACAGACAGTCACTGGCATGTCCTCCTCATCCTGATGATGCTGCGAAATAACCCGCCCTCCGATCACTCCATTCTCTGGTAAGGACACCCACTCATGAACCTGCTGATGATATTGACGCATGAGTTGGGAAACCAAGAATTGCTTGCCCTCAAAAGCGGCCCAATTTCTTGACTTCCAAATACGCCAGAGGAGTTCTACCAAGACCCTAACCTGATTCGGTTGGGTCATCCTAAGCAAACATTTCTTAAGGAACAAAGGGAAAGTATGATGTGGCAAATCTTGCCCCAGATGATCCAAACTGAATGAGCCCAGAGAGCTGTAGCGACGGGACACTCCCAAAAGAGGTGTTCCATCGTTTCAGACTCCGCCCAACACACCGGACATCGAGGTAGAATTTGGACCCTTTTTTCAATCAAGGCTTCTGTGGTAGGCAGAATACGGTGAAACATTTGCCAAATGAATAGCTTAAGCTTAGTTGCGATCTTGAGGGCCCACAGTCGAATCCAACTCACTTTATCCATCCAGCTCATGCTGGGGAGCCACACCCCAACCTGTTTATCCATCAACAGCGCTAGGTGGTAGGCGGATTTGACAGTAAACACACCATCACACGTATCATGCCATACCAACTTATCCTCAATACTCATACGAGGTAAAGGGATTGCCAAAATTTCCAAGTTGACCTCAGGAGGAAACATCTGCTGAAGTGCATGGCGACACCAACCCCCCTCCACAGGATCAAGTAACTCTGCCACCTTGGTGATCAACAAAATAAACTTTTAGTTTTAAGTGGGGCCAGATCTAAGAGATGATAATTAATGATTTTTTTAATTTTTACTATTTTTCTTTATCGACTTTATCTTCTTCTTTATAACTTGGATTTCAAAAAAAAATTACACAGATGGAACGGGTTCGTGGTCATCTACAAAATGATATTCATTTTCAACCATTCTACACTCTAATGTGTTCGTAGTTCGTACCACCATGATACACTTCCATATCAAGTGATATAATCTTATATACATACAAAGTAGTATCACATGATATGAATTAGTAAGTAGCATTAAAACGAAAGAGATATAGCCTGTTATAAAATTTATTGGGGAAAGTTAGTAGTCTTCTATAAATGCTATGTATAGAGTTAGCATGGTTATGCACCCATAAACGTTTCACTTACCATTTATGGAAGGCCTCTAAGTTCTCTTTTTAATTTTAATAGGCTATTCATTTTTTTTTATATAAGTAATAATTTAACTTTTTCACAGAAAATCATATTAACTATGCTCTTAAAATTGACATCCACTTTCATATATTTTGGAAGAAAAAAGTTGAGACATTTATTACAAGTCCATACCACGTGATAATGCTAGGTATTACAGAATATTGGTATTAAAGTGAACAATAATATTATGAGTGCATAAAAGTGTATAATGATTGTATACATGATAGTAGGGATATACTAATGATCTTACCACTTTTCATCACCGCCAATCACATGTTACCACCTTATATCAGGGTGGTATATTTGATCATGAATTTTTGTTTCGAGAAACTTATAGATCACGTCGAACTCGTTAATTCTAGGGAAAATTTTCCAAACTTCGAGTTAAAAGCGAAAGTGGTACTAAATGGTACTAGACTGGTAACAAGTGGTATGGGTGGTACAAAACAATTTCGCGAAATATATTGAAAGTAAATATCATGTTGTAGATCACAAAGAAAAAAAAAATCTCAAAATATATTAAAATTAATATCGGTTAGTTTGATGCATATAAAAAAATTAACAAATGATTACCATAATTACATTCTTCGCAATATGTAAATGCATACTAGTAATACTCGATAACAATCCATACCATAAATTGTCCAATTTAGGCAAAAGGTCACCCAAGGCATACAAGAACCTTACGAGTCTAAAAATGGAGAGAAATAGTGGAATGATGTTATCTCTCTCTTCATTTTACCTCTCTAAACCGTTAGAGCCTTCTGCCTTAAAGTTTTTATGTTAGAAAGTGGTATAAGATCTAACATAACCTTCTCCCAACAACTCAAGTCATTCTCTCTCTTCATCTTTGAAAGGGGATTGAGAGGGAATGATGTGGATTGTGGAGCATGAAGGAATAAAAACAGAGGAGACTATGGATTTAGAGGATAATCCCGTCCTCAATAGGGATCATAAGAGGGCTCAAGGTTTCAGCATTTTAAAGAAGAGTAAAGTTCAAACCATATGGAAATATCAACCATTAACAAAAAAACATCTCAAACTTTAGGAGCGCTGATATATCACCCAAATCTCAAAAGCACAAGTTCAGTAACGTCTCATTCTGTTCTGGAATCGTTAATAAAAAGGCTCGACGATGATAATCCGATGGGTTTCTATCGCACGATCAAGTACCTATGTACTCTTAATGACTAGTTGTCAAACCCTACATTCACTTAGCAATCGCAAATAACTGGCAAGTACAACACTGGACATAGCATGCTTCAGATGCAAGGATACCTTCACTGAATAAAACCACAACGAGCTCGCTTACTGAATTGCCACATCCAGGTAATCACCAATCTGCAGAAAAGCAAAACACATGCGATTCAAGAAGTAGCTCCCACAGGAAGAAAAAAATAACAATCTGTTCATGGAGGGCATCTTCCATTACCTCGAATCCAATCTCGCCCAATGCCTTGTTGTCGTCTAATTTCCCAACCCTATTAGAGTACGTCTTCCCAACCTTCAAGACACAAATAATCATTAATGATCATAAGTTGTAAAGTTAATAGCACCAGAAGTTGTTGAGTAACCAAGTAACTTCATACATCATTTCATAAGTAATCATCTGGAGAGAAAGAGAGAGAGAGGGGAACTAACCTCCCGCACCACAAAACGGCCATTCCTATCTGGATAGGCAAAAGCAAAAGAAAGTAACGCATCTCTTCTCCTTGCCGCTGGAGCCACTTCTTTGACCTAAAAACAGGTACACATACACGGGAAACCGAAAATCTTTAAAAAAAAGTTCATGTTAAGTTACAGGTGTAGCGAATCAGTAACATATAAAATAAAAATAAAATTAGGTGAAGATACTGAAGCACAAGAGCATTTTGCAATCCTATTTTAAGGACCAAAATACATTCCACGTACTAATATATAAGCTTGAAATTTTAACCAGCAGAACAAAATAAAGAAGTTCTTCTTGGACCCAGTGCAGACTTGTCTAAGTGCAACTGATGGATAGGTAATGTCACCATGTACCCGTTCAACCTCACGGACTGTGAGAACCGCGAATACTTTCAGACCATCACAGACTAAAGGTGACTGGAAAACAGCAAGTGGTGCGAAAATGGAGTGAGGTGCAGAATATTGCACTCTAGAGATACTAATAACAGCAACTGGCATAAGATAGAGGAATGCTCTAGGTTTGAACTGACTAGAAAGAAACAACGCGTAGAGATTCTTAAAAACAGTCCAGTTTAGTTGGGGGGCGAAAAGCTGGGGTGAACTGATTCTAAAGAAAAGGCAAAAAAAAAAAAAAAAAAAAAAGTAGATGCACATTCAGCCAAAGGGACCTTAACTTAGCTAAGTCAAAAAACATTCGAGGTTCTCTAAGATGATTGCTACGTACCAAATCCGTCAATTCACGAAGAGTAGCATCCATCCATGTGTAGATTTGAACCTCGTCCTTGGGCTCCTTGCCTCTAATTTGAAATTCTTCCTTAGAGTGATGACCTCCAATCTGCAGAAGTCCAACTTAATAGCATTTAATTCACAAACGATGTACGTACAACAGTTCGTTAACCAAGGAATTTAACGTTCTGTTCAGTTAGAAACCATTGTTGAGAGTGAAATTATAAGAGTTCATCGTAGATGCTTCCAAATAGTTTCCACATTCCATGCCCGAAAAGTTCAAACATACAGCAAGAACTTTGAACAATGCCCTAAACATAGTCAGCTTACCTTGGTGAAAACCCGAAGCAACAGAGGACATGTCTGCAATTTTTTTCCAAAACAGAGAAAAAGGTCATTTAGAGTTACACAAGCAAACCATTCATAGTCACAGCAAAAGAAGATATGTAACACTTCAGCTAAGGTCATCCAACTATATCAAACACTTCGCAGTTTGAAAGGCACAAGCCAGAAATCCAATTACAGACGCGAAAAGGTCGCCTCGATTCCTCCCTAATTCTCCGTATTATTACTATGCGACATTGACACGCTCTGCAAATCAAATTTCGAAACCCTAGAGGTTCCGACGCATATTCCGAGATGGCGCTCAAACCCTAGCAAATAGATTCTGACCGACTGGAGAAAAAAGGAAGAATACCTTCTCCCTATCGACAGGGGGAAGCGGGCCTTTAGAAAGAGGCGGACCTCTATTGCCAGGAGGCGGCAACGGTCTCCCTCCTTGTCTCTTCGCTGGTTCTGCGTATCCCGCCATTAATTAGTACACTGCTGCCCTCGACCGTTCTTTGCTTTGCTGCAACTCTGGAAAGTGGAAGCTTCGGCTTTTGCTCGTGCTCGTGCTGTAGGCTAAGAGAGGCGGCGACGACAAGAGAAACTTGTTTCCTTGTTGGGCTTTTATGTAAGCTTCCGAGCCCCAAATTGAATTGCTGAGGCCCAGCTCAGATTCAGTCTAAATTTAGATGGGCCCTTGCTCCATGGAAGCAGGTTGAAATTTGAATTGCTGCTGCCTCCAGATGGCAATTGAACCGAATACACAGGTATTCAGTCCGATTCAGTCCGCTCAAACCGGGTAAAATTCAGTGTTTGACTGGTTTTGAGTAGGATGCGGGTTTCGTCTTCTTTTTTTTTTTTTTTAATTAGCTTGTTGAATTGGGCTTGTGAATTGCACTCACTGCCTCCACTGAACCTTTGGTGAAAATCAACAAATCGTCAGCGAAACAAGGTGAGTGAGACCAATTATGAGGCACTGAGGATGATAAGGGCGGACTGCTCTAGCTGCAGCTATGTTCAACATACTGCTGAGGACTTCCATGCTTATAGTAAACAGATTAGGAGATAATGGACAACCCTGTCTAAGACCCTTTTTAGCAGGAAAGTAACCAACTAATCCTCCATTAAGACAGATTGTGAAGCTGGTTGATTCCAGACACCCCTGCACTCGCTTAACAAATTGCCCTGGCAATCCCATAGCTACATTAACATTGTATATGAAACTCCAATCCACACTATCAAAAGCATTCATGATGTCAATTGAACTAGTGTCTGGTAGTGTGGTTTTTTTGTTAGAAGCCTTTTCTAGCTTAGCAATCAATATAGCGTGGGCAAAGGATTGAGGTTGCATCATAGTCACTGTCGGACTCAATTCCTTTGCCAAGCCACTAATGAAACTAGAATTGAAATATTCTTTTTTTTTTAGGGAAAGAATTGAAATATTCTTCGGCCAAGGCAGGGTTGTATTTGGACATTTGTGGCTTCATATCCTCAAACTTCTTCTGATATTTCATTAACGAATCACATTTGCCTTAGCATGTTACACTCACCAACAATTCCATCAAGTGTCCAATCGTCGTTCCACATAGAGCAACCACAAACTCCTTCCAAACTAGCTCACGGCCGGCGTTCGTAATAAATTGTCGCTTTCTCACACACTGGTCTAATGGAATATCATATCGGGATTGGTTAGCATGCTAACCCTTCTAAGGGTTGGAAAAATGACACCCCTATTAATTAAAGTTATTTTTTGTATTAAATTCGTGTTGTATTTAATAATCTTTGGAAATTAAAAGCCCATCCTAATTACATTCCTTTTTTTAACTACCGTTGCAATGATACAAGTATACAACTACCATTGCACCTGTATACTGAACTCATATTAATTACGTTCCTTTTTTGGAACTACCATTGCACTGATACATCTACCATTGCACCTGTACACTAATACCATTGCACTAATACAACTACCAGTACACTGAAAAAAGGATAGTAATTAATATATGTTTTTAATTCATACCGATTATTAAATGCAACACAAATTAATAACCTTAAAAACCTATAATTAATAGGAGTGTCATTTTTCCCAACCCTTTTAGGGGTAAACATACTATCTCATCCCATATCATAGATCTCTAACTTCTTCTCACATTTTCTAGTCCATTCCTCAGTTGCTTACTGGCGAATCCAACTACTAACTTCCCTAACCTCTTATTTATTACATTTGAGGACGGTGCATTACATACGCTTATAAAAAAAAAAAGGAACACTAAAAAGCAGCGGCATCAAAATAAACTTAATTCTCATTGCCAAAATGCAAATCAAGGTACTTTTGACTTCCCTCCATTGCCTACTACTGTGGTGGACATGTACAAATCTAAATATGGATAGTCGCCAACAACACATTACTTCAGATTTGTGGGAACAAAGTATTGTCATGGTTTTACAAGGATCGCTAGGGGGGATAAAGCTAGGATCGGATGAGATGCCAACCCAATGAAATACAGTTCATGTTGGCACTCATCACCACATTATTGATATGTCACAGCTCTCTCTCTCTCTCTCTCTCTATATAGCATAAGAAGAAAATGAATACGATAGAACAGTTGAGGCGTCTAAACATGAACATAACTTCCATCCAAGTGGGATCAGGAGGGCGAATGTGGAAATGAAGTAATAGTACCCAGCTGCAGCTTGCAAAGGCCAATCAATGGAATGCTAGCTACTAATTCCTAGGAAGCAAGCGCTTGGTTGGAAGTCCAATGAAGAGTTCAGTCTCCACATCTGAAACTGGACTGCCTTCATCATACCCTGAATTTTCATTCTGCTGTTCCTTCTCCTTCTCCTTCTCTTTCTGCTGCTGCTGCTGCTGCTTCTCTTGCTCTTCATGCATTGATGAGTCCGTTCCACACTGCAAAACCAGACATCATTCTTTACATATAATACCCAATTCTAATCACTTTGAGAACATCAAAACCTTCCAAAACATCCCAAGTTCAAAGTTTAGGGCAACCATTTAGTTTGGTTAGTCATCACGTTAGCAAATTCATGCCACAGCATAATAGTATAGGAGTCATATTGTGAAGCAGTGCTGACCTTTTGGCACAGCTTCTCATTCTCGGCCAACAACACTCTCTCCTGCAACATAGACAGGCAGACAGACAAACCCAAAAAAAATTTCTTCAATACATTTCTCTAATGCTTATTGCTCGTGCGCAGAAGGGAAAAGCGGGGTTAACTACAAAGTAGAGAGATGTCATTAACCCTCCAGGTAAAAACAATTCACCTTTTCTTTCAGCTTCTCAACTTGATCCCTGAAGACTTGATTCTGTACATGTATATGCACAGATGATTTGATTCAGTACAAAATCCACCGTTACCCATATTTATAACTTTACTTACCTAGCCAATAAATGTTCAAGCAACTGAAACCCTAAGAAATGAAGCTGATGGTAGTGGGGAAAAAGAAGCCTGGCCTCACTGATGATTAGCTTACGTTCAAACTTGGACCAACAACGGGCTAGGCATTCTGATTGAAACCCTAAAAGAGTTGAAAAGATATATATGCGCATGATAGAGATACCTTTCTGGCCCGAACGACACCGACACTCTTCTCCAACTGTTGCTCAATCTGCTGTAGGTCTTCCATAGTGCATGATCCTAGATCTTCTCCCATCATCCTCCTGTGTTTAGACAAAAAAAAAAGAGAGAGATTTTGTTGTTACCTTCAGTCTCCATTTTCTTGTACATGCGTGAAAAGGGGGAGAAATATTGGATAGTAAGTAAACCTTTTGGAGGCTTCAAGAACCTGTATCTTTTTCATCATGTTTGCTGCTTCCTCCTTCAACTGCTGCCATTACGAATCACAGAGTCATGCATTTTGGAACATAAAGACTGACTGAAAAAAAAGGGAATGGTGAGAACTAAACCTGCATGTTTTGCTCGGGTGGCGGTCTGGGTTTTGGACTGTCTTTCACATGCTTCCTGTAACGTTCAACTGTGCCCTGCATGCTGAGCTCAAAACACCCAAACAAAGTCATCGATATTAAGGATTCAGGCAGGAGGAAGAAGACCATTCCATGGCCGTTATACAGCAGGGTTACGTAAGAGAAAAGATCAGCCACGTACGTGGAAGGGCATGAATGCATATGCTTTAGAAATGAGGAAGGCAAGAAGTACGAAGTAGGCGTTTATTCGTTTTGGGTACCACCATGTTTTATTATACCAAAAAAAAAAATTAAGAGGGAACGGTTATATGCGGTTGATTAATATTTACAGCCATATCATGCTTGGATATTTGGTTTATGGCAATTCTACATTTAATGCCCTCTTTTATTTTCATTCTCACTATATGATTCAATTTGTTTACAAGTTGTAAACCTCGAAAAATATAAATGAAAAAAAAATACATTTGGTTTTAAACTTCATTCAATTGTGTATGTATTAATTGTATATAAATTTTAATAATATAAATTTCAAAAACATTGGATTTCGTGTTTGTGTATATTGTTATAGCACAATAGTGAACTACGGATGATAATAAAATTTATACACTTTAATATAATGTATGAGTATATTGTTATAGCATAATAGTGACAGTTAAAATATTTCTAAAATTTAGTTGTAAGAATGAAAAAATGATGAAAGCAAATTATAATCATGTGGAAAAAAAAAACTCATAAATTCAAAACATTAAATGTATTAAATAAAATTCAATTAAATTGTCAAATTTTATTAAAATTTTAACAAATGAAACCAATTTATATTCACTATTTGTTTCTTCTCCTCTAAACACACGAATAAAAAAGAAGCTATCTTTTCAACTCGAAGCGACTCCATTTCCTTATTACTTGTGAACCCCCACCCCCTAGTCCAGTCGTACAGGCCTTCAAGAATTACTATGTTTGTGTAGATTCTTAGATTATTAGAAATTATTGATTTAGCTCGATTGCTGGTGAAGGCAAAACTAAAATTATTATATCAAACAGTCTATTTGTTTCTATAATTTGTATTGATTTTATCGATTGCAACTGCAAGTATTGAAATCATTTTTTGTAGATGAGGGGTTAAATCAGCAGCAAGCTTTGAAATCGAATAGCCAATTAATTCACAAATCATTATCTAGAGGATATATAGAAAGAAATTTGTTGTCAGTAATCGCTCACAGTATCTTACAAAATTTTCACAATTGTGGTAGTTTGTTATAAGTTGTGTTGGGCAAAAACTCCTGAATTCACCACTAAATAAGGTTCCTATAACTTGCTATAATGTGAAAGGCCATTCTTGGCAATTACTATTCTATTCTCCTACACTAGCCAGAGCTACAAGGTTGGGGCAAAACTACAATCAAATGAAGCAGCCCTCAAAGGATTTAAATAGACCAGCTAGCTACCAATTGCAATTTGATGTCAGCATCCCTACAAATTATATCTTCCAGTAATCCATCTCAATTATTCATAAAATTTTGAAGAAATTTTGTGTTGCTTACAATAAAAGTGTAAAATAAATGTGGATATATAATACTTGAAAATATATAAATTATAAAGGGATTGAGAAGTATATAAATCTGGATAATGGAACTTCCATGACTTTCAGTCGACGTAAGATAATCTTATTAAAGACAATGTAGTCAAAATCACGCTTTAAAACTTAAAAACTTACGATTTTACGTTTTTAGGTCATTAAAACGCTTCAACGCACAATCTCAGTTTTTATAACTTATGTAGTTAAAACCTCCACTTAAAAACTTACAATTTTACGTTTCTAGATCACCAAAACGTTTCTACGTTGAAATTGACTTTAAACTACATTGTTCACATCAACATTATATTTGTACTCATGATCACCATCAAGAGTTGAACCCATTAGTTCACTATCAGGTTATTGGCACGGGCAAAAAGTATTGGATCTCAACGGCTCCTCATAACCAACACCACTAAAACAGTCAAAAGAAAGACAACACAGAAACCATAGTTCTGCAAACCTAGTCAAAACTGTATGGTTTTACAAATATTTGTTAAATTGTACAAAATCATTAGCCGCTATCTATGATAAGTACAAGGTAGATGTTGCTTCGGTATTGGGGATTCAGATGTTTTTTTAACATGTGTGGTACTTTAGAATTCATGGTACTCATGCCGCCCAATATTGATGAAGTTTCACAACTAAGATCACCTTTAGAAGAGAGTTTAGGTACAGTGGAAACTATAATGGAATGGGGGAAATGAAGTAACAAAGAGTGAAAGCAGAAGAAGCACGACTTCACTAACGAACCCTACAACTTCTTTGTATAGTTGATATATTACCTCAAAATATGATGAATATATAGCATCATTCTCAATGCACATTGCCACTCATTTGTACATTCACATATTACTTGTACCAAAATTTGGTTTCATCTACCAATAATCTGTCAGAATTTTGAAGGGGGGGAAAAGGTGGAAAGGTAGTGTTCCCTTAACATCAGAAAGGATTAAACACAGTCAAATACAGAATTTCTTCTAATTGGATCTTAGCAAGGCTTTAAATACTTCGTGTTCACCCACAGACTTCAGCGTGCAAATGGGAGTTCCACAGCAGATAGAGTGAATGTGGAGGTAGTGCATATTCTGAGTAAGAAAATGTTATCAAAATTTTAAATGGATCGAATTTGTCGAAATACATGCATCAAATTACATTTACAATCTTATGGTTTAGAATTTATGATTTAGAAAATAGAAACTAGCTAGGGTTTACTCATTAAGGGTTAAGGTATAGTATCATATCTCAAAATCCGATTAATTCGAGTTCTAGATAAAGAGAAAGGATATAATAAGATTTCAAAGACTTACCCTAGGCACGATAGAAGTCATCATATATATACATAAAGAGAAAGGATACAATAAGATTCCAAAGATTGTCATCAGAGCAACCAATGAGACGAGTCGAGTTTTGTCTAACTCAAGCTCAGCTCGTTAATAAATTAGTCGACCTTGAGCTCGACTCGTTTATATAAGATTGGCTTGTGTTTGACTCGATCTCGAGCTAGGCTCATTAATGAGCTCACAAGCTCTACTCGAGTTTGGCTCATCAATCAACTAGCGTGTCCGGCTCAAGGTTAACTCATTTATCATTCTAATTAGTTAAACCCTTAAACTACACTCTAAAATAATTTATAAATTGAGTATCATAATATGTGTATGTCATGTATGATACACGTGATTAATGCTATGATGAAAAAGAAATAATAATAAATTCTTCATTATTAATTTATCTCATGTTTATATGGTATGTTGGTATCATACTATTATTAAGTTTGCAAATTTTAACCAGTTCAGTTATTTCATAATAGTAAGTATTTAAGAATCTATGATCCACAATTTCATTTTCAAATTATAAATGGGAAATATTCGTTCACATACTAAAAGTTGTAAATATCATGTGATTATGATGATATATAATTCAACAAAACAACTCATAAGATATAGATTGATTCACTCATAAGTCGGTAGTCGAGCTGACTCACTAGACACAATATCAAGCCACCTGTTGAACTCAGAACATGCAGGCTACGAGTTGAACTCAAGTAGCCACCTAATCGAGCCGACTCGCGTGAGCTGAACAATAGTTTAGCTTCAACTAGTAAACAGGTAGAATTTCTGACATATCCTCCCAGAAAAGGTTAGTGTGTTGTGAAGTGACGGCATATCATCAGTACTGCTTGTCATGATGATCACTACTACTAAGTAGTACCACAGCCAGCTACCCATTTATACTTTCGCATTAGATCCTCACCATCTGGTTGTAAACTAACTTATATAAAGTTACCAAATGGCAGTCGGTCCTGGTTAGTTAGTTAGTTAGTTAGTTAATTAATTAATTTGCATCAACCAAAAAGGAATCATATGTAAATATCCTCCCAGAAAGACTTTAATTTCAAGCCTATCCATCCATATATTGGCATCGTCACTGACCCACTCCAAAACTTAACGTGACTGAAATAGTATTGTTTATGGTGTAGTAGTACTCCTAGTACACACTTGCAAGTTGCAAAGTTTGCAGACACTACACTGAAACCAACCAGTGGAAGGAAACAGCACACTCCTCCTTTTGTATACCCATCATCAGTTAATAAAAAGAAAAGAAGGGGGGAAAAATCCATAGAACTAAACCAGTATTCAATGCTCAAAATAGAATCTTGTTTAGCACATATAATTTCACCATATAATACTTTGTCTACGTACGGATATGAAGAAAGGGGTCACCAATCAGTGTAAAAACAGTAGTGCAGGCAGGCTCCTTACAAGCAAGGAAGGAAACAGCACAAAGAACTTGCATTTAACCAAGTACCCTTTGTTCGTTTGTTATGACAGAAGTATACAGTTACTGAAATCGTTGCTTACTCGTGTCTAGATCGGTACGAATTTATTAAAAGATGTTAGTTTCGTTAGGTTAATCTTCGATAAGGTTTCATAATCATTACGAAATATCGAGTAAATGGAAGATCTGGGAGAAGAAGGAAGAAGAAGTAACATTAATAAATAGTCACAAAACCAACATCAATGTTGAGTCTCTCCTCCTACTAATTAAACCCAGGAAGCTGAAAGGAACACAAAGATTCGACTCTAATGTACTTCGCTCTCGCAGGAAGAAAGAAAGTTTCTTTCTTCGAGAGCCAAGAAAGAAAATAGCTTGGTAAAATCTAATTAAAAAGCAAATGTAGGGGGGAAGGAATATACACACACATATAGATCAAAGGAAGAAGATGCAAAAAGAAGGAAACGATGACTGAAAAGTAAAATGGTACCTGGCGCTGGCGAATTCGTAGAGCTTGCCGCGAGGTGAGAAGACGAGGAGGGCAACCTCGGCATCGCAAAGCACAGACAGCTCGAACGCCTTCTTCAGCAGCCCATTCCTGCGCTTGGAGAAGGTCACCTGCCTGCTCGTCGCGTTCTCTATCCTCCTCATCTGCGTCTTCCCCCGCACCATCTTGCCGCCTCTTTCTCTCTTCTTCTGGTTTCTCTCAGCTGCTGCTGCTGCTGCTCCTTCCCAGACTTCAATGTCCGGTTTTCTTTCTTCAGATCGGAAACCCAAAACCGACCCCCAGCTGAAAATTTTTTCGACAGAAACGAGGATCATCGCCTACCCTTTTGTATGTAACTAATCAAATCGGTCAACAACAAATCACATGGGCTATTATTATTATTTTATATATGTAATAACAACATATATAATCAAGCAGGCTAGCTATATGGATATGATATTCAGAGAAAGAGAGAGAGAGAGAGCAATTTTAATTAATCTAGTTAACAAAGAAGGAAATGGAACTCAACTAATTAACTCACCCCCCAAAGAAAGAGACAAACTCCCTTCCCCTACACACCCAAACAGTGTCGCTGCTGCTGCTGGTGGTTGTGATTTTCGAGTAATTTAGGTAGTAGCTAGGGGAGCAGAAAAACCAACACAGAAAAACAAACCAGATTCAAGAACAGAAAACCCAGCTCCAGGACTAGCAGGAAGCGGTTGAGGGGAACTTGGGAAGACTGAAATGGAATCTGGTAGCCCAAGAAAGGAATATGAGTAAAGGGTTATGGATTCTTAGTTGAGAAGAAGCGAAGTGGGGGAGAGGGATTAATTTGGAAAATTTTGGTGCTTTTGGGCTTCCCAATTTCACCACCAGGAGGGAGAAAGGAGGGAGAGGAGAGGAGGAAGGTGGGCTTTTTCTTTTTCCCTTATCTGGGCAGTGTGGCTGGCTGGGTTTGGAGGTCAAAGGTTGGTTGTGGATGAGCGATTTTGGAAATTTTTACCATAAAAGCCAATAACCCCAGAAAAAGGGTTTGACAAGGAAAATCACCCAAAAGCAAAATGAAATCCTATGCCAAATCAAGCAAGGCAGAGCAGCACAGTGCAGAGCAAAGAGAGAGAGAGAGAGGGTAAAGAAAGAAAGGGAAAAGAAAACCAGGAAAAGGAATCGACCGACGGGAAGGGTAAATAAATTTCTGATATTGATGGGAAGGAAGGAAGGAAGGGAAGGAGATGGTGAGGAGAGGATCGATGATTGGCAGAAGAGAAAGAGATATGCAGGAAATGGCAAAAACCCAAATAAAGAAGGAGAGAGAGAAGGGATGCTCTCAGCTCGCTCGCTCGCTCGCTCAACAAACTAGCTCTAGCCAGCTACCTTCTGTACTTAGTACTACCTTTTTTTTCTTTAATTAATTGCGTTTTTTTTATTATCGAATTTGTTTTATTTTTTTAACCAATTGTTTCCTGGTTCACGAAAACGAAGCAGCAGCAGGAAAGCATCAACCAACCAACCGGCTTTGTTTTGTTTGTTTCCTTATTCATCAATCTTTCACTGTTTTTCCATCTCTGTTCCTTCCTCAGACCCTGCCTATTTCCAGCAATTCCCTTATTTTACTTGCTTACGTGATTATTGATTAACAACAGCAGCTTATTCATTATTATTCTACAAATCAAAAGCATTTTTTCATTTGTAAGCTGTTGAATACTAATGAATAAGCTTCAAAATCATATTCAGTCTGATATATTTTTGTTGAACAAACAAATTGAGTCATTTTTAACTAGGATATATCATATGGTCTTGACTGGTATTAAATAAGAGCATACCATATGAAATGCAAAAAGCTTACCATGGTGATACGAACATACCAAGACTGTAGGGTGATTGAATACATGATAGTAGGAGTATACTATCAGTCATTTACGACTTTCAACATTGTGTACCACAAGATACCACCACGTATCAGGGTGGTATTGTGTGATATTTTTTTGTCCTGTATTTTGTTCACCCAAAAATTTGTAGATCCAATAGATCATGATTAACTCATTCCTTCTATGCAAACATTTTAAAAAATGACTTAAAAACGAACTCGTTTCATATGTGAAAAAAAAATTGAAATCCGAGTTAAAACGAAGAAGATATGAGCCGATTAATAAAATAATGAAAAATAAATATGCGTTTAATTTCTCACCTTTGGATCTGAATTTTATGGCCCCACTTAAATCTGATGCCTGAGATTTAGTTACTCTTACTCATGATGAGTAACCATGGGGTTATTGACGGGAACTTGACCCGTTATTGCTAGGTAGGCTATGCATCTTATATGTTCCCTTTATGTTATGGATCTATCGAAAATATCAAGTCCAAAGTCTATGGTTATTAAAATTTAGATAATCACTTTGTCATTCTGATGTAGCGTGCTAAATTCATTCATTATTATTCAAACCGTAATTTGGTGTTAACAAATTTCCACTTTTTTCAATTATTTTGATAAAATTTGCATGAACTATATTCAGATTAAAACATACAACTTACTAAACCCGTATAATAATTTAAATTGTTTGACAACCTTGCCACACAAATCTCCTCTCTTACATTATCTTGTTATTACTATGTTATATTATATTATATATGGTGCTACCTTTTATCTTCTATTAAGTGATGATTATCAATGTTATAATCATACTGCTTTTCCTTTTCATTTCTCCTTTGCAAGTGAGGTTAAACGTATACCACCTTCTTTTTCTTGTTTTGGTAATATCCATGATGCACCAATTAAAGTCAAGCAACGCAACTTATTCCAAGTGGGAAAAGGGGAAAAAACCTGTAAATTCAATTTCAAAGGCCGTGTTTGCTGCAAATCCCCTCTCTGTTTCTAATCTAACCTCAGATTTCACATCATATCCCGCCCTAACCTTATGTATAGCTTTTGTTATCTTAATAATCACGTCCTCGTACAATCATACTACTACCATCTATTACAGGTTTGGAATTTCTGCTGGTAGAAAGGTTGATATCGGTTTGGTTGATGGGCATGGCGGACCCCTTCGTCTTACGAATTTACTGTTATATTCCTGGGATAAAGGGCAAGATGTGTGTATCGATCTGACTGGATCTTCACCTCTAACTCAGATTAGGATGATTGGTTTTAAGCCCGACTGAGTTGTTGTTGATGTTGCTCAGCGAAAGTGTGCCTAGTATCGAGACTTGTGCATGGCGGCTGGTTATGGTTTCCTACCCTTTTCATTTTCTTTACTGGGAGAGTTTGGTACGAATGTCGTGATTTTGCTCAAGTGGATCCATAAATTCTCAGAATTCGGAGGTTTGGGCAGCCACGTACATTTTTACTAAACTTAACTTTGCTATAACTAAAGAAGTGCGGACTCAGATTGTATGTCGGCTCCCCACTAATTTTTTTTAGATTTTTATTGTTATGCCTCCACTTACTAATAGTTTTTGTTGTTATACTTCCACTTAGTGATAGTTTATAAATTTTTATATAATAACAGTAAAATAAAAAGAGTTTTTATCTCTTATTTTGCTTATCCACTTGTTTAGTTTCCTTGTTAATGTATCAATACTTCGAATCAGTTGCATCTGAGATCATAACATATAGTTAATCTCTGTAAACTAATATTTAATATGAAACTATTTTTTTAGAGAACTGTGTTGATTTTAGGGGTCGTTTGATTTTATTTTTTTTATGCGAGGGTCGTTTGATATTTGTATGAGTTATTTGTGAGTTATTTGGGTTAAATAACTTATAATGAGTTATTTAAACACGAATAACTTGTTTGGCAGCGTTTTACTAAAATGAGTTATTTGGACAGTGAATTATTTGAAATAACTCATACACATGTGTTATTTTGAAATAATTCGTTTTACCACTCTGCTTTACCAAATACTACATGTCAAGTACCCCATTTGCATGGTTCAACAGAAACGAGATACTTTATTTCAATTACCACTGAAATACCACATGAGAATGTGGTATTTGTGAGTTATTTCAATATTGAAATTTAATTTTTGAAAAGAGCAAACTAATAAGTAATAACCTACTATTCCGTCAGTTTTTAATATTTTCTCAAAATGTACGAATGCATTATAACCTCATATAAATTTGGATGTATCTCTTTCATGCCATACGTAGCTTTTACACATGTATCTGCATTTTACCCTTTGCTCGCTGGGTTCTTCCTATGAACCTCAAATTTTGGTTCTCTAGACCTTCTTCATGTAACATCCAACACATTTTCTGACCAAAAAATTATTTTAGGACTACTCCTGCACAACATTCCTCTTTAAGAATCAACGTCATCGTTCAGGTTTGTTGTACCATCGTTTAAGAGGGACGCAGAGAGGTTACGATACCACTTGTAATAGCTCAACCCTATTTTGACCAAGATATTTTTTAGTTCTGCTCCCCGTTTACAATTTTTTGCTTTTGGAATGCGTCATGGGGGAGTGGGGACTTCTCAAAATGACACTCATTTATGCACTACTGCACACTAAGCACGTTTCGTTTCATTTCATTCATTTCACTAAAAAAACACGTAATATCAGTTAAAATTAAAATATTTCTTATAAATTATATATATATATATCTTTTATTTTATCAATCAGGAATTTACCAATGTGGTTCTGCACATAAAAAAAAAAGCTAATATTGGAGATGATAATGTTCATCAAGAACTTAATAAAAGATATCTTGTGAAGTGTGGGTCCCTGGAGTGAGAATATATATATATATATATATATATATATATAGGCATTATAGGGAATTGGGACCTACACGACTATTTTTGGGGTTTTCAGAAAGTACTAAGTAATTTTCCTCATAATTAATTAATTATTTATTACAATAAGCCCAACAGATCTGGAAATGAACAAATGGGCAAGTCTGTCAGAGTCGTCCGTACAACTACGTACAGGAAGAACCAATGGGAAGCCGAAAACGCATCCCTTAGTCACCAATCAATTTCCTTCTCTGTGCTGTCAAAACAAAACAAAAGAAAAGAAAAAGAAAATAAAATAAAATAAAAATATCCTTTCCCTTCCCTGCCCCCGTCCACCACACACTCGTCCTTGTCTTCTTTTCTCCCTTCCCTCCTGTCATTTCTGGGGCCATGATCTCCAAAAGTATTTGTAGTCTTAATAAATATATATTTTACTTAAATCATTTAAAAACAATTGCTAGAAATATTACAATACTCGCCCTTCATGGAGGATTTGATTTGAGAGGTATATCACTCTTGCAGTATAGTGGCTCGATTGTATTTCAAGGAGTCGTCCAGATTATCTGGTATAATCATGTTAAGCCTAATTATTATCTCGTCAATTGTTTGTTTGTTGGTTGGTGGTTGGTACTGGAGAAATTATGTTACTAAATAACAAGAGAATTGTTTTCCGGTGAGAAGATCTTTGTTGAAATAAGATGGATGCATCTTTGACTTCGAACCAAACGATTCAAACCTCTTCAACACACAGTTCGAATGAGGGTATTTGATTGATGAAATTCTTGAGAACAGATCTATATTAAATTACCTATACGCATAGAAGGAGGATCAGTGAGAACTCCAAACTACGATTGATGACTACTTGGAGAGGAAAAAAAATGTAAAGTTTGACGTAGGTGTCAATTGTCTAGTTGTGGAATCCTTGTCTTTGTTGACTCCTCCTCCTATTTATAGTCATGAGGAGGTAACCGTTGTAGAAAACCACATGTTGGGTAACTCCAAAAAATTACTGCTCCTTGCTTCCTCGGACGTGGTGGCTACTCCTTAAACCACCTAGGTGCCTATCTTGGAATTGTCATGGGTCTTGAAGCGTAGCTTGTCTCGCGTGGTCTTGTTTGAAACCTCGTGTCATGCTAGTCTTTTGATGACCCTGTGGTATTAGGGGGTCGTGGGCCTTTTGCCTCGGGGCAATGTATTTCTTACTCATGTCCATGACTCTCTTGGGACTTATTCACTAGTGATATAATGCTCTACCATCACACCCTTATCATTCGTGTCCATAGCCCTCTCTTGAGTCATCATGTCTTTCTCAGACTTAATATATTTTCAAACGTGCTTAGGGCCTCTTATCTCGCGTCCCTGCCCCTCCTCATGAAGCGGCATGAAGCCATGAACCTCTCAAACTTAGTCATTTTTGTCTCCTTTGAGAGATGCTTATCATGGCATGGCCTCTTGACCTATAACCACGCCATGTGTTCTTCATCACCACCATGACCCATGTAATTTGCGACGGGACTGCTTCCTCGCGTTCATGGCCCATCTCGTAACACAGTCATGGACATCCCAATCATGCACATGGCCCCTCTTGTGAAGC